ACAAAATATATAATTATAGCAGGAATAGTCCAAAACGCCCCTTTAAAACTTAACCAGAAATTCGACTCCGACTGGGATTACGCAACCTTTGACGGCCCGTTGCGCCTACGACGGTCCGTCATGCAGGTTCGTCAGAGACTTGATTTCCTTAAGGAGTCTGTGATGGCCCGTCGTACCTACGACGGTCCGTCCTGCACTTTCGTCACGACGTTCAGAGAATCGTTCCCTGTACCAAATTCTCAAGAGTTGAAGTGTTTTGAAACGGCGGATCACGACGGTTCGTCGTGCCTGTGACGGTCCGTCCTGCAGGTCCGTCACAGAGTTCAGAGAGTCGATTCTCAGTACCCAATTTTCAGAATTTCTAAGTGTTTTAAAACGAGACCCCTCGACGGTCCGTCGTGTCCATGACGGTCCATCGTGGGTTCCGTCATCTCAGCCTGTTTTTCCAGAAATAAAATCTGCTGCTCAAAACGACTAAACAAGTCGTTACAGAGATAAAATAGGAAGAAAATTGGGACACATAAATTTTTTAAAATAATGACATTTTTGACATTATTGCTAATATTTATAAAGTATGGATATTTTTACTAAATATGTTATTTATTTTGACTAATTTTTTACTAATTTTTCCTTTTTTTAATGAAAAATTGTATATAATGGCAAACTGATGAATCAAATTAAATACGATAACCACACTTGATTCAATTGTGCCCTGTAGCAAACTATTTGTCAGTCACCTCTTTCTCTCAAACTCTCGCTCGTCACTCTCCATTTCTCGCTTGCTTTTATACAAACATAAATGTATAAAATGTGTTTGTGGTTGTATAAAGCGAGAAAAGATTGTATATATTCATATATTTTCGTTCCCCTCTCCCAGATCTTGCTCGCCGCTCTCTTAGATCTCGCTCACCACCCTTTCCTGTATCGCTTGTACAAACAGAAACGAAATGTACAAATTGCATTTTTGTTTGTATAAAGCAAAAGAAAATTGTATATACCCATGCAAATATACATGTCTCCGTCCTATACACTAATAATTATAAAATACAAATATTTCTCTGGCCAATTTTCTTTTGTCTTTCTCTCTTTCTTGTTTTATACATACACAAATTATACA